TTGTGAGACCTATGTAGAGGTTAAGTAAAGCTATTTGGATTCGAAATCGCTTTTGCTTTCAGGAAGTGTATTGACGAGTGTATTCTAGTCTCATTCGGTCAGTTCACGTTACTCTAAGAAAGAAACTGCTTGTCTCTGCCTACTGCTTGTAGTGATCTTGGGCATGTCACTTGTTTGGGAAATCTAACTCCTTAAAAAAAAATTTTTTTTTTTCTCTCTGGTAAAGAGGATTGAAAGAGGAAATAGTTGTCCAATTACAGAAGTACTTGGATACTTGATACCTTCGTTCTAAGTTTAGATACGAGTTTGGAATTCGAGATGCTGATTCAGTTGTCTCTGAGCTGGGAAGTTTGACCTTATTGACAGACATTTTAGCTGATTGATTTCCAGAAATTGTTTTCTGCTGTGAAACTTCAGGTTATTGTAGTCAATTGCCATTTCCCAACTCTTGGCCATCCCATGTGTGCAGAGTACAACTGCTTCATAGGGTTTTCAAGGCTGTGACCTTTCAGAAGTAGACCACCAGGCCTCTCTGGCGGTGGTTTCAAACTGCTAACCTTTTAGCTACTAGTCAAGCACTTAGCAGTTTATATCACCAAGTGCTGGTGGGCTCTGCTGTTTTTTGTGGTTATCCCCTACCCCCTTTTGGATTGTAATAAACACATTATGCTTCACAAGAAGATTAGAGTTTTAAAAATTGTGTTGTTGACATGAGTGAAATATTCTCAAAGGATTATGTAGCACACCCTTTAACTTTTTTTTGCTGGGTGTTCTTGTCAACCTTGCTTTTGTGACCATTGTTGGATAGAGAGAGCAAAGCGCCCTTGACTAACTTCCGAGGCAGTTATTGGCTTCTGATAATGTATTTATCTCTAATGGAGCAAGGTCCCCAGGGAAACCTGACTCGGACAACAATGAAAGCTAGTTTTAAGTGATCTGAGGCCTTTTGGAGCTCTTTCTGTATGTGTGCCTTTGTCTGCTCTCCCAGATGTTGTTGTTATTCATGAGTTCCTCCACAAATAGGTTGCAGTGGCTCAAGCGGTCCTGACCTTATTAAGTTGAACCAGGAACTTATCATATCTTATCAGAAACCTAGGGGAATGAAGAGCCTACCTATTTTCTTTCATTGCCCTTTCATTTCAGGCCCATAAAGTTTGACTCTTCGACCTTGATAATCCCATTTCAAGATATTCTAGGTGTGTACAGTCTTGATGTGTGGTGCTGTGGGTTATATGCGCCTGACTGCAAGCTGTTTGAATTGCAAGGTCAGCAATTCAAGCTCACCAGCTGCTCCTAGGAAACTCTATACAGGGTCTCTATGGGTTGGAATCAACTTGACAGGACTTTGTAGGTTCTTGTGAACTTTTCTTTTCCACCTGGCAAATACACATTTGTTTGTCTAGGGAAATTGTTTGTAACTGTGGTAGCTGCAAACAGTTGGTTGCCATCTAAGCCCTGCCTGGTAAATTGAAGTTTTTCAACTTTTTAGAATCTTCCTTTGCCCGAAGCTTTGCCCATTTGATTACAGGTTAAACCTGAATAATGACTAGGATGGGAAAATACTCGCTTCAGGGTTTTCATTTTATATATATATTTTTTCATATAATGTGTAATCTCATGCATCAAGCACGTCCCAACGCTGCTGGTTATAAAATGTATTTACGCTTTCATGTACTTTGGACACATTATCAGGAAGGAACAGTCCCTAGCGGAGATCTTGGTAAAGTTAGAGGGCAGCATAAAAGAGGAAGAGACTCAACAAGATGGACTGACAGTGGCAGCAGCAATAGGCTCAAACATAGCACCAATTGTGAAGATGGCACAGGACTGGGCAGTGTTTCATTCTGTTGTGTAGGGTCACTATAAGCTGGAACCAACTTGAGGACGCCCAACAACAACAATTTGTTACCAATATTAGGTATTATATGTTGCTGTTAGTGCCATTGAGTCTGTTCTGACTCATAGCCACCCTGTACAGGGTTCCTGACGCTTTAAATCTTCCAGAGAACAGAAAGCTTCATCTTTCTCCCACCAAACGGCTGATGGGTTCGAGTCGCCAAAATTGTGGTTTGCTGTGCAGTGCATATATGGAGCCGCTGTGCTCCCAATATTAATTATTATAGGATAGGGAAGTGGTGAGAGCTGTCAGACTTAGAAAGCTTCATAGAGCTGACTTTTAAAGGAACGGAGGAGTCTTAGTGAATAAAGGCAGGGCCAGGATTTTCCTCATTTTGAAGGAAATCTAGGACAGTCAAGTTTTTAGGAGTGAAGGTCTCTAGAACAGAGCTTCAGCAGGCAGAGGCACTTATGTGTGTGAGCTCCAAACACTTTGAGACTGAAGCCTGCTTTCTGAATTGAAGTGGGCTTGTCAATAATATCAAGCAAGTGCCCTATTCTTATTTCAAGTAAAACTGCATACCAGTTTTGGGTATATGTAATTGAGAGTATATGTTGGCACCTGATTCCCCTGTAGCTTAAGCACTGTATACAAATCCCTCGTTTTGCCACAACCCAAGGTAGCTTGAGATTTCAAGATAATTATTTTTCATTGAATAGACATTAACATAATCTTTTAAGAAATTAGAATTTTAAAGAGATTTGGATCTGAAGTCTTTTGTTTCTTTACTGACTCTGCATTCTATTATTAGCTACCATTCAAAGCATCTTCTATAGACAGGGTGTTGATACTCATAAAAAGCAAGGCAGTATTTGGTGCCTGTGTTTTCTTGTGCTAGATCATCAGCATTAGTGGTAACGTTTTGAAATTAGCCAAATAAGTATTTTTTGGTATTTAAATGTGATCTTTTAACAAAACTGTTAATAGATACGCAGGGTGGTATTCATTCTTTATTAGAGTGATCTGAGTTGATGAAATCATTTTGAAAGGATGATTCATATTTGTTTTAATATACAAAACTTTAGGGAGTAATTGGTGGCTATCAGTAGAACTAATGTGGTCTCCACAGATGATGAGGTTAGAATGGGAATTGTCTACATTGCATTTTTTTTCTTCTTCTGACTTGATTTCTTGTATATAAAGTTATAATTTTGTATCTGGGTTGAAATAGATATTCTGTATCTATTTTCTTAGTACAAAATTTTGAATTTTAATTATACAACATTATAATTTCATATTGTATCTATCAATTTTCACAGACTCAAAATGACTCAGTCTTATTTATTTCAATCATTTACTTAATGCATTGTCACAGTAGTCTTAAAGTTAATTTAAAACTCTAAAAACTTGAGGGATGGCGGGTTCAGATATGTGTTAAATTTGTAAGCTGTTTTTTCCTAGAAAAGGTTGATTGAAATTGATCTAGGGTGGGGCTTTCTAAGTTCTGGCTCTAGCGATTGAGGTCTGTACAATTCTGATAAAGTTTTTGTACCAGAAGGGGTAATAGATTATGCTTCTAAGAATATGTTCTTATTGGCTTATTGGGTCTGGTCTTTTAAAACTGGGGATTTAATTTTTTTTTTTAAGTAGAAGGTTTAGATCGGGGACTTTATCTAATGCCAGTTTATATAATGTCTTATATTTTTTGTAGTCTGCCTGTATCACACAGCTTGCTCTGTGCCACTGAGTCTGTTCTGATTAATAGTGACCCTATATAGCGTTTCTGAGGAGCAACTGGTGAATTTGAACTTCCAAACTGACCTTGTGGTCCAGTGTTTATCCTACATCACCACACCAGGACTAGGGGTACTGAATGTGCTTTAAGTAGGATTCCTGGTGTGGCACTGTAGGATCAGAAATGGACTACAGATCTCACAAGGTTGCCAGTTCAAATCCATAAGCTGTTCCTCAGAAACTCTGCACAGGCTTGCTGTGAGTTGGAACCGACTCAGCCGCACTTAACAACAAGTATACTTGTAGACCACAGAGGCTCCATACAATTATCACTGGACTGCGAACTACAAGGTTTGCAGTTCGAACCCACCAGCCACTCCATGAGAGAAAAATAAAATTTTCTGCTCCCTTGCAGATTTAAAGCCTCAAACCCTATACAGTGTACCTATGAGTCAAAACCGACTCTACGGCACTTAACAAGTATAGTTGTATAGGAAAAACCTTAAAATGAATGCTGTTGTTGTTAAGTGCCATAGATTAAATTTCCTCGTAGCTACCCTGTATGGGGTTCCCAAGGAGCAGCTGGTGAGCTTGAACCACCGACCTTGCAGTTCAAACAACTTTGCAGTCTGATGCATTAGCCTACAGTGCCACACCAGGACTCCCTTAAAATGAATAGTAATCATTAAATGTCTATTTAATAAATCTCAACGTAATAACACTTTCAAGCATCTCAAACCAAATTAATTAGAAAACTAAAAGATTTCCGTTAGATTTACTGGGTTATAGAAATTGTGTTCTCACATCTGTAATTTAAGAAAAGAACCTTATGTTAAAACATAGGATTCTTTTTTGTTTTGAAAAAAGTTAAGGTTCATTTCTTTAATTACAGAGGTGAGAACACAATTTCTATAACCCAGTTAGCTATTGAGCTTCTTTTTTTTTTTTCCCCTAGATTGCCACTTTTGGGCCTTAAAAAAAATCACTTACTCTCTTAGATAATTGGCCTCTTTATTTATAAAATCTGCACCTGCCCTGTTCCTCATTGGATAGTGCATTGGGCTTCTAAAATATAATCTGTTTTTCTTTTGTCTATTATTTTTGCATCAAAGAGTGTTTATCAAATCACTTGTACAAACCATTTAATCAGAAGGATTGAAATTTCTCTTATTGGAGGTGGTTTGTTACTGGTCTTTGTAAAATGAACATTCTTAATTCTAATTAGTGTGTGTGTCCATGATAATCCATATTCAGGATCCAGTCAAGGAGCACACAGAATTTAGTTGTTACGTAAACTAAATATGTTTGTTAAATATCCGTTCTTGAAAGAAGCTATAACTAACCTAACCTGGGAATGAAATACCCTCACTAATCCAGTACAATCGTAGTATCTCCTTGTATAAACTCTCTTCTAATATTAGGTTCCTCTGTGTGGCAGCTTGGAATGATGGATCAAGCCAGATCAGCATTATCTAACTTGGTAAGATCTGTTAAATTGTATTTCTGTGTTTTGTAAGCATATGAAGTATATGAGCATGACTTTGGCTAAAACCAAACCAAAGCCCACTTGCCATCAAGTAGACCTGCCCCATAGGGCTTCTAAGGCTGTAAATCTTGATGAAAACTGACTGCCACATCTTTTTCCCATGAAGTAGCGGGTGGGTGTGAACACAAACCTTTTGGTTAGCAGCCAACTACTTAGCCACTGCATCATCTCAGAGCTCCTCTTTGGCCTAGTAAGCATAAGCTAATACACAAAGCTACCATCAGTTCTTCATTAATTTTGAACTGGTAGTCTGAGGCATAACTGGAAACGTTTATCCAGTCTATTGTTGTTGACTCAAAGAGACCCTGTATCTTATTCCTGAGGAGCTGCAGGTCAGTTTGAATGAACTGCTGATGTTGCAGTTCAAACCGACTACAGCACCACACATAGTATGGTGAATTATGGAAAAGCTTATAAGAAGCCTCAGGTAGTTTGGACCTTGTGGAATAGGACAGCCAAGTAGACAGTAAAGTCAGCTGTTCAAGCTCACCAGCCAATCCTCAGAAAACCTATACCGGGCCACTATGGGTTGGAACCAACTCGACGGCATTTAACAATAGTAGCAACAAGGCCACAAAAACAAGGATAGTATCTGGCTAAACTTTTTATAAATGTTCTTAGTCCCTCTCTGTCATTTCCCCTGTAATCCTTTAATTTTTTTTTCTCTCTCTTTTTTTTAAATCTCAGTTCGGTGGAGAACCATTATCATATACTCGATTTAGTCTGGCTCGGCAAGTAGATGGCGATAACAGTCATGTAGAGATGAAACTAGCTGCAGATGAAGAGGAAAATGCTGACAGCATGGGGAATATTCCTTCCAGTGTCAAAAAAACAAAAAGACTTAATGGCAGTATTTGCTTTAGCACTATTGCTGTAATCCTCTTTTTCCTGATTGGTAAGAAAGGCCATCCAAACTCCTACTCTTCTTTGTAACTAACTCAGAAGTCTGTTGATTCAGTTCAGCATATTATTTTGTCTCCTATTAAGTGTCATTGTACTAGACACTAGGAATATATAAGATTCTGTACCTGCTCTTTAGCTTAATCTTGATGGGAGAAAAGAGATACATACATATCATTTCAGTGCAATGTACAGCTGTTACACTGGAAAAATACACAGGATATTTGTAGCATTAAAAAAAAGCCCAGCAGAGTGGTTCAAGTAAGGCTTCTGGGAAGAAAAAGTAGTAACTATGCTTTGAACGGGTAACTATTTAAAATGTTATTAGATAGCTTATTGGATTGAATGCTCTTAAAATATACAAAACTGAGATGTGTTAGGTACCTTCAAACTGTTTAGAATTTCATTAAAACTCTTGTATTTTCAATGCTTAGCTGAAAATATTAATTCCTACAGGGATAGGTTATAAGTGAAAATCTAAAAGTTCAGCTCTGAAACTTTTTATCTTTAGGATTCATGATTGGCTACTTGGGCTATTGTAAACGTGCGGAACCAAAAGCTGGGTGTGAGGCACCCACGGAAACTGTGTCTACTGAGGCAGATTCACAGACCTCTGATGTAAACGACGACTACCTTGAAACGCCTTCTCACTTATTTGTGGGAGATCTCAAAAGAATTTTGTCACAGAAACTGGACGCCACAGAGTTCACCAACAGCATCCAGTAAGCTTGATATACATCATAAACTAAATCTCAGCATCTAAACAAATACTTACTGATTATTAGATGCAGTGAAATAACGGTTATAATCTTAAAGACCTTTTAGAATAGGAAAGGCTTCCAATGTTTAGCTAGAGGGGAAGGGATCTGCAAAAAAATTGGAACTGTTGATAGGGAAAAAACTTTGTTATTTGGGGGAATCTTTACCTAAAAAATGTTGACAGGTACTTGATCTTTTTGTCACCTGGTTCTTTGTAGCTTATTGCTTGCTGCCCAACTTTTCTCCGGCTCTTAATTTTCCATCCTAATCAGTTGAAATCCTCTGAGCTGGCCACAAGATCATCCTCCAGCTCATGATTAACTTAATTGCCTAACTAAATGTGTCTAGTAGCCCTTGATTTGTATAATGATTCTTACCCATTAAACCATACTCTAGCAAGTGCCATTAGGTTTCTGGCCTTAGATTTTTATTATCTTCCTTAGAGTTAGTTATGCCTTAACTTTCTAAGTATAAAGAGCAAATTCTTCTTTCCCCTTTTACTGACTTCCTACAGTTTCTATGGTACAATTATTTTAGTCTTAAGATAAAAATCTTGGCATTTTTAACTCATCCAGTGGATATTTTGTATATACTATATACAAGGAGCTCTGGTAGTATAGTGGTTACGAATCGGGCTGCAAACCTTAAGGCCAACAGTTCGAAACTTCCCAGCCGCTCCGCAGGAGAAAGATGTGATGTTCTGTTCCCATAAAGATTTACAGCCTCGAAAACCCTGTACAGTGTCACTATGAGTCGGAACTGACTCGACAGCACTTAACAACAACATACACTAGGCATTGTGGATTTAAAGTGAGTGTGATGTTGTTGTTAGGTGTGGTCAATCAGTTCCGACTTAAGCCAACCCTGTATAGGGGTTCTGAGGCTGTAAATCTTTATAGGAGCAAAAAGGCTCATCTCTCTCCCACTCAGCGACTGGTGGGCTAAAACTGTTGACCTTGTGATTAGCAGTCCATTGCTTATCCTGCAGAGCCTGAGTTCCTAGTGAGTATAATCTATAAAAAATTTATCAAATAAATCACATGATGAGTATATTTACAAAGAACTAGGAGCTCAGAGCAAGGGGTGTTTCTGTTATCAAAGGATGAAAATTGAAGCTATACATCTTGAGTCTTTTGCTTACAATGACTTTTTTGAAAGCTGCTCACTTCCCCTAAAACTACCCTAAGAAAATATATTAGTACATTGCATCCTAATACAGGATGATGCTCTTGGACTGCTTTAAAAAGTGATTAAACAGGTATTAACAAGTTTGAAGTTATTAAGTTACATCTTCTTCCAAGTTTGTCTCTATCTGGTTATTATAAAAGTATTGGGTAATTGTGAGAGGTAATACTGAGTTGTTTTTAAAATTTTTTGCTTGATCCTTGTTTATTTTCAATTAAATGTTTTAAATTTAAAGTGTTTATTTTCAATTAAACTTTCAGTTCATTTAGCAGTCATCTTTTTTTCCTCCAGACAGCTGAGTGAAAATTCCTATGTCCCTCGTGAAGCTGGATCTCAAAAAGATGAAGACCTTGCACTGTTTATTGAAAAGAAGTTCAATGCATTTAAATTTAGCAAAGTCTGGCGTGACGAACATTATGTTAAGATTCAGGTCAAAGGCAGGTATGTTAAAAAATCACAATTTGCTTTATAGAAGTAATGATCAATATGAGCAAAAGACTTTCAAAGTAAAAATCAGGGCCAAGCTTTTGTAAGTTAAAGTTCTTTAAGCCAAATGATAATGCATATGAAATGCTAAATGTATTAAAGTCATCTAAGATGCTACATTTTAATCCTTTCCCCTCCCCCCCAGCACTATCCAAAACTCAGTGGCCATTGTAGATGGAAACGGGACCACTTTATTCATGGTGGAGCATCCTGAGGGTTACGTGGCGTATAGTAAGGCTACGACAGTTACTGTAAGTAAAGCAAAATAAAGCATGTAACTTATTTTTCCTGTGGAACAACTAAAAAAAAACACTTTTACACAGCTAGGTATTTAAAAACTATGTGTCTTAGTTATCTAGTGCTGCCATAATAAAACTACCACAAGGGGGGGGGGTGGCTTTAACAAGCAGAAATTTCGTTTCTTTTTCACAGTTAGGAGGCCAGAAGTCCAGATTTAGAGTGCTGGCTTTATAGGGAAAGGCTTTCTCTTTCTTTCAGGTGCAGGGGAAGGTCTTTGTCTTTTCACCATCTGTAGACCCAGTGTTCACTGTATCTTCACGTGTCATGGCTCTTCCCTCATCATCTCTGCTTTTGCTCGCTTGTTTGATCTCTTTTAACACAACACAGGCAACCTGTTCCCAAGTGGAATGGGATTATAACTGAAGTTTCAGGTTTGTTGTTAAGTGCCATTGAGTTGGTTCCGACCCAGAGTGGCCCTCCCTGTATGGGATTTCCGAGAAGTGGCTAGTGAATTTGAACTGCCGACCTGACCTTGTGATTCAAATGACTTTGCAGTCCAACACATTAACCCACAGCACCACAACAGGACTCCTAAGTTTCGGGTTAAACACTACATATTTGTATGCTAGGGATACATCTATTGGGTGACTCTCAAGCCAGTTTTTATAATCATTCTCTGCCTTTCTGGTTAGCTGTGCAGGGATTTGCAGGTGGGTGGATAGTTCTGTTTACCTGTAAGCTTTCTATATCCAGACATTAGATTGTTAATACCAGTTTATAGCTGTTCATCTGAACTCGAGTTTAGAAACATTATGATCAACATTTAGAAGTTGGTCAGTGCAAGTCAATTTCTTATAATAGATGTGTTTTTAACAATTTGTGGACAGATTTATTATCAGACTTTTCACTAAAGTTTATTCCTGTATATGTACTAAAACCTTTCTGTCTCAAATTTTATGATTAAAATTATACCATAATGTTCATTAAATCTAATGTCTTTGTTCTAGGGTAAACTCGTCCATGCTAATTTTGGCACTAAAGCAGACTTTGAGAATTTAAAGTCTCTTGTGAATGGATGTTTAGTGATTGTTAGAGCAGGGAAAATCTCTATTGCTGAAAAGGTAAGTGTGAGTTATTAAATACGTTGATATCATAACCTTCACTGAAATGCTACTTGTTAAATTTTCTAAGTGCTGAATAATAGCAGTTCTGAACTCTCATCCCCGATAAATCAAGTAAGTTCCAATTATCTAATGTTAGAGGATCATTTAAAACTGTGACTGCATATTTTGCAGCCATTGTTATTTAAGTGAAAATCATCAAAAATGCTTACGTGAACAGTATAAATTGTGTGTAGGTAACTGAGTTTTATGTGTATATTGACTTAAACTATAACTCTTTTATAAAAACAAACCAGACCACACCCCATGCTTTTAAGTTGATTCCAACTAATAGCAAGCCTGAAGGACAGGGTGGAACCTGTCACCCTGGAGTCTAAGGCTATATGTTTTTATGGAAGCCGACTGCCACATCTTTGTCCTTCAGAACAAAGTCGCTTCAAACTATAGGCCTTTTACTTGGCAGCTGAGCGTTTAACAGGCTTCTTTGGTTTTACACAAAGCAATTTCAGAAAACTTATGCAAGGGACTTCAATGGAACATCAAAAGACTGCCTTGATTGGGTTTTTCTTCTTTCTCTTCTAAATTCTCCTTGATGAGTTGGTTTCAAGGGCCTTTTTTTCACCCCCTACTATATATGCTATTTGAAGCATTTGGGGGAGTCAGTCTAACACTTTACTATATCAGGTATGTGTCTTGTAGCATGAAGTCCAGTATGTATTCTTTCCATTTTGTTATAACCAGATCTTCAGTTTCTGAGCCTTTCCTGTTGTTTTTTTTTGTTATTGTGTTTTTTTAGGTTGCAAACGCTGAAAGTTTTAATGCAACTGGTGTTTTGATATACATGGACTATGCTGACTTTCCCCTTGATGATGCAAAGCTTCCATTCTTTGGACATGTGAGTTCTTAAGTAAATGAGTGCTGAATCAACGTTGCGATTAACACATTAACCCACAGCACCACACCAAGACTCCTAAGTTTCAGGTTCAACACTACATATTTGTATGTTAGGGATACATCTACTGGGTCCCTCCCAAGCCAGTTTTTATAATCATTTTCTGCCTTCCTGGTTAGCTGTGCAGGGATTTGCAGGTGGATGGATAGTTCCTGTTTACCTTAAATACATTTACCCCCTTGGAAAAGTTTCAACAGTAAGCAAGAAGGTGGACTAGATGACTTGTAGACTAGTTGCCGTAATTAGGTGCCTCAGGTCTGCACAGTAGGATGAAACTTTGCCCATGCTGCACTATCCTCACAATTGTTATATTTGAGCTAATTGTTTCAGTCACAGTGTCAACCCATCATACTGAGCTGAACGTCTTCCTCTTTTTCACTGACCCTCTACCTTTCTAAGTATAATGTCCTTTTCTGGGAATTGGTCTCTCTTGATGATATGTCCAAAGTACATTAGGTGAAGTCTGTTCGTTATCATTTCTAAGGAGCATTTCTGGCTATTCTTCCAAGACAATTGTTTGTTCTGGCAGTCCATAGTATTCTTTGACAACATCATCATTCAAATTCTGTTTTTCTTATTCAATTGTCCAACTTTCACATACATATGAAGTAACTGAAAATATTATGGCCTTGAGTCAGGTGCACCTTAGGTTCAATGTGTGACATTTTTTTTTTTTTAATATCACTTTAAGGAGGTCTTTTGCAGCAGTTATGATAAATAGAGTATATCCTTTGATTTATTGACTGTTACTTCCATGAGCATTGATTGTTGGATCCAAGTAAAATCAAATCCTTGATAGCTTCAATGTTTTCTCTGTTTATCGTGATATTTTTGAGTTGCAAGCAAATTGTATCATCTGTATATCACAGGTAGTTAGTGAGCCTTCCTTCTATCCTAATGTCACATTCTTGTTCATATAGTCCAGCCTCTTGGATTGTCTGTTCAGCATACAGATTGAGTAAATATGGAGAGAGTATAAAACCCTGACCTTGATTGACAACAGGCACTATCCCTTTGTTCTGTTCTAATGACTACCTCCTGATCTGTTTACAGGTTCTGCATGAGCGCAATTAAGTGTTCTGTAATTCCTGTTCTTTGCAGTCTTACCCATCGTTTGTTATGATCCACAGAGTCAAATGCCTTTACATAGTCAATAAAACACACCTAAGTATCTTTCTGGTATTCTCTGCTTGCAGCCAAGATCCATCTGACATCAGCAATGACATCTCTCATTCCACATCCTCTTCTGAATCCAGCTTGAATTTCTGGTAGCTCCTACAACTGTTTTTTAAATTATCTTCAGCAACATTTTACTTGCATATGATATTAATAATATTATTTGATAGTTTCTACCTTCTGTTGAGTCACCTTTCTTTGGAATGGGCATAAATATGGATCTCAGAGTCAGTTGACCAGGCAGCTTTCCTCCAAATTTCTTGACATTGACTACTGAGTGCTTTCAGCAGCGCATTGTTTTGTTGAAACAATTCCATTGGTATTCCATCAATTCCAGAACCTTGCCTTTCAACTTGGACTTCTTCCTTTAGTACCATAATTCTTGATCATATGTTATCTCCTGAATTATGTCAACCAATTGTTTTGATACAGTGACTCTGTATTCCTTCCATTTTTTTTTTTTTCATGTTTCCCGCATAATTTAGTATTTTGCCCATGGAATCCTTCAACTTTGCAGGTCAAAGCTTGAATGTTTTTCTTCAGTTCTTTCAGGTTGAGAAATGTTAAGTATGTTCTCCCCTTTTATTAATTTCAGGTCTGTACACATTTTATTATAATACTTTGTTTTCTTGAGCTTCCCGTTCAAATTTTCTGTTCAACACTTTACATAGTTTCTTCCATTTGCTATAGCTCAGCGGTCAAATTCAAGTGTCATAGTCTCTTCAGGCATCCACTTTGGTCTTTTCTTTCTTACCTTTCTTTTTATGATCTTATGTTTATTGTTGATGTCTTCCTACAACTCTTCTGCTATTGGTCACTAGTGTTTAAGTCATCAAATCTATTCTTCAGATGATCTCTAAATTCAGGTGGGATACTCTCAAGGTTATATTTTGGCTCTGGTGGACTTGCTTTAATTTTCTTCAGCTTCAGCTTGTACTCACGTATGAAAAATTGATGGTCTTTTTCACATTGAACTTCTGGCCTTGTTTTGGTTTTGGCTGACAATACTGAGTTTCATCATCATCCTGTCACACAGATCCCAGTTCACCAGACTTGTCTAAACAAGATGAACACTATTCACTGGAGACTCTGCCTTCCCCCACACACTCTTAAACTAAACTTCCTAAGGAGCTCTGGTAGCGTAGTGGTTATGAATCGGGCTGCAAGCCTCAAGGTCAGCAGTTTGGAACTACCAGGTGTTCCGTGGGAGAAAGATGAGGCTTCCTACTCCCACAAAGATTTACAGCCTCGGAAACCCTATACAGGGTCGCAATGAGTTAGAACCGACTCCATGGCACATCACCACCAGTGTCTTAAGTTGTTGGTCCCTATCTACCCTGTATATAGAGGGGATAGGATTGATCCTTGATGTGAAGACACCTTCCCTCTCAGTTGGTATTTTGAGCTCTACTATATAAGTATGGGTCAAGTTCATTAAATTGTAGCAATTTACACTCGTTTCCTTTATCAAAAATTGTTTTTAATCTTCCTCTAGTTGAGTTCTGATTATCAAGCCATTAAGGCTAGGTCAGATGGGTACTATCTGCAACTTTGGGCATTCTTGTTCGTCTCCCCTCACTTCATATCAGCTGGATGCTTCACTCTCAGCTCTAGCCCTCTGTGGCTATGTCCTTGTCCATGGGCTCAGGAATCCCCACACGTCACCACACTCCGGACCAAGCAGCCCTTCCTCTTCTCTCTCTCATCTCCAGGTCAATGGGAATATATGGACCGTGGTTGAACTCAAGCCCATTTCTTCATTGCTGCCTTTCTCTATTTTCCAGGCACCAGTATACCGATGTTCTCACCAGCAAGCTTACATGCCTGTTCATGTGTTCCCTTTGAGTTTCCATCTTGGAGGGGCTTTGTTCTGAAGGGACTTGATTACTTACCTTGATGGATCACCAGCGAACAACTTGGTTGTTCTTGTCGTAGCCAGGCATATTGACATTTTTGTTTTGGGTTTTTCCTGCTTGTCTTTGATTGAAGATGTATCTTCTGTTGCTCTAGTTGTTCCAGGCTGGTCTGCTTGTCCTTTCTAGTGAGAATAGCCCACCTCAGAAGGTTCTGGTTGGGGCTCAGGATACCACCTAAGGTCCTATACACTGCAAAGGCTCCACAGGAGGCCTATTTCCCTGGGCATGTTCTGGAACCCCTTCTAGGTATTCCTGTCAGTTATAGGCTGAAGACGGGCTTACAAGTTTCCTGTAATCATGTTTCCCAACATTCCTTTTAATCCTACTCGTGTCTATTTTACAATAGTAGACAAGGGCAACCAATATTCATAAGACAGTCAAGCATCTTAACATTATTTCCCCTCAGGATAGATCTTTATGTGTTCTTTTGACTACATGAATATAATTATCATTTCTCTTGAATTTGTCCTTCCTGGCATGTAAGCCATATGAGTATCTGATTCAAAATGGCCAGTACCAGTCCATTTTAGCACATTAATACCTAGGATATCAATCTTCATACATTTAATTTCATTTTTTGATGGCTTCCAATTTTCCTAGATTCATACATCATACATTCCATGTTTTGATTATTAATGGACTCTTGCAGTTGTTTCTTCTCCTTTTGAGTCATGCCCCATCAGCAAATGAAACTCCCAGAAGTTTTGTTCCATTTGCATCATTAAGATGGACTCTCCTTTGACAAGGAGGCAGCTCCTGCTTAGTTGTATTTTGAGCACCTTCCAACATTAGGAGCTTATCTTCCAGCACTATATCAAACAGTGTTTCACTGCTAATCACAAGATTTTCAGTGGCTAATCCTTCAGAAGTGGGCCGTCAGTACCTTCTTTCTAGTGTATTCTTTGTCTAGAAACTCTGCTGAAACCTGTCCACCAGGGTGAGCCTGCTGTACTTGAAACATCAGTGACATAACTTTCAGCACAACACAAGCCACCACAGTACCAAAAACTTGACAGGCTAATTATTGTTGCTAAAAGAGACTTTATCAGTAGTATCTGAAATTGAGAATTTGGCATATTATATATAAACACAAGACCTTTGTAGAGCCATTCAAACTTCCAGACTTGTAGGTACCTAAACTAAGCTTCAAACAAGGGGGCTTCAAAAAGTTTGTGGGGAAAATCTATTTTAATTTTTATTTTTCTTGAACTTCTAAAATTTGAACATTACAGAGAAACTCTTGCCTAAGTGTCTGATAGAATGAATTTCTCTTTTGTTTTAATAGGCTCATCTGGGAACAGGTGACCCTTATACACCTGGGTTCCCTTCTTTCAATCACACTCAGTTTCCACCATCTCAGTCGTCAGGATTACCTAATATACCTGTACAGACCATTTCCAGATCTGCGGCAGAAAATCTGTTTAAGTAAGTTTTTTTGTCTTGTAGATGAAGTTTTATGATTAGGGAAGAATAACAAAACTATTTTGTGTTGATGTGATAAAATCTTAATGTAATTTCTCACACTTGGGAATTCTAGCAACCGTTAACTGTTATAGGTAAAAATGAAGATTAAGTGTTCTTTATATGGACTGGAATTTTTAATTCAAGGTGTCCTTGCTCACACTTTACCCAATGAATTCTCTGTGCAATGTGTGTGACATAGCTTCTGCTGTAATACTTCCTATGGTAGAACGCTCCATGAAATTCATTCAATTATTGAAGATCTGTTAGAATTCATGTTGGGCTGAAATCTTTTTCCCTGTAACATTTATTCCATTCTGAATTTTATTTTTAGTAACACTGAGCAATTTTAATTTTCTTGTCTATAGATTGAATATTAGTTATCATAACAATTTCCAGATATTTATTGTCATGATTTGTCCTTATTGATAAGCCCCCTAGTTTATTGTTATTAAGTGCCATGTAGTCAATTTTGACTCACAGCGACCCTGTATATGGTTTCTAAGGAGTGGCTGGTGGGTTTGAACTGCCAACTTGGTGGTTAGCAGTCAAGTGCTTATCTACAGTGTTACACCAAAGTAACTATCAGAGTATCAAAAAGGAGCTCTGGTAGCAAAGCGGTTTATGAGTTGAACTGTTAACCTCAAGGTCCGTAGTTCAAAACTACCAGCCATTCCACAGGAGAAAGATGAGGCTTTCTGATCCCATAAAGATTTACAGCCTCGGAAACCCTATGCAGGGTTGCTATGAGTCAGAACCAACTCCACGGCATCAAAACATAATTCACGTACTGTGTAATACACCCATTTAAACTGCAATTTTCAGTATGTGAACAGATAGGTACAGTTATCACCACAATCAATTTGAGTATTTTTATCACCTCACAAAGACACCCTGCACCATTTAGCTGACATCCTCTGCTCCCCAATCCCTAAGCAAACAGTTATTAATGGACTTTTCTGTAATATCTTCATTCTGTGTTCTTCCTAGTATGTATTTCAATTGTAAACTATAGCTATGTCTCCTGCAAAAAGGCATACATCATATGGGGCTAGGTAAAAAAAAAATAATAATAACCAATTGTTTTATAAACCATTTTAAACTGGGGAAGTGACTCATGATCTTCAAATGACTGTTAACAAATCAGAATAAGATACACGTGGTTGACCACTAGGGAATACATTTTATACATTCTTTTACCTAACAGAGAATTTTACCACGCAGAGCTTATAACTGGTTTTATAAACCTGGAGGAAGTGCCAATAGCTCAAAACTCTGATCCTTGTTTTCCAGTTCTGAAAATATGGAACAAGACTGTCCTGTTAGTTGGAAAGCACAGTCTCTATGTAAGAAGCTATCCGTACAAGGTAGAATTGTGAGGCTCACTGTGAACAATGTACTGAAAGAGACAAGAATTTTGAACATCTTTGGAGTTATCAAAGGCTTTGAAGAACCTGGTAAAAATCCTTGTTGTGTGGTCCCCTTTTGTATTCTTGCTGTTCTTAGGATGTGGCCAGATGGGGAGGGGGACGTGTGCAGGAAGACGGTCTTGGCTTGATATTTTGAAATATGAAATTGTGTCTGCTCTATATTGAATTTGGGTGTGGTAGTGTGGTGGTTAAGTGCTGTGAAGTCCGTTCCTATTCATAGTGACCCTAGGGTTTCCAAGGAATAGCTGGTGAGTTTGAGTCGCCAACCTTGTTGTTTACAGTCCAGTACTTAATCCTGCAGCGCCACACCAGTAGTCCTACTGAATTGGTTAGGTGTGATTTTATTGGGAAGGTAATACCCCAGAGAATTGACTTATTAAAAACTAACCAGTATATGTAGAATTCCTTTTCTTTTTTTTTTTTTTTTTAAGTTATTGAATGAATCAACAGTAAGCAGATGAGAAACATTTTGAAGACCATATGGTTTCTGTTGCATTGTGCTCATGTCTGCCATTATAAGTGTGAACAGCCATGGACAGTGAGGCGTGGATGGGCATGCAGGCTGTCCTTTGTAGATCTGTAGCATAGACCATGTATCCACTGCAAATATTCACTGCCGTATCATTTAGTAAGGAAAACTCTTGGACCTTATTGAAACAGTAAGCACCAATCAGTGAGTAAAACAGATAGGTAATGTAGAAAAAGAGTAGCAGCACCAGTAAGGAAAAATACTACTGTAAAGTCAGTTTTAATCCGTGAAGTCTGAAGTTAGAGCAGAAGTAAAACTCTTACTAACTGGTATGCTACAATATTTTTACTATTATGTTACTCTAGACTTCAATATTAGAAGGATGGCTTAAAGGCTCACTGTATTGTTTTGTTTTTTTTAGACCGCTATATTATAGTAGGAGCCCAGAGGGATGCCTGCGGTGCTGGAGCTGCAAAATCCAGTGTAGGAACGGCTCTTCTGTTGGAACTTGCGCGGATATTGTCAGATATGGTTTTAAAAGGTAGAGTATAAATTTTGATGCCTTGAATATATTTCTGTGTGCACAAGCAGTTCTTGGTAGTATCATGAGCTTTTCTCACTTTTGCCTGTATTCTTTCTTAGGTTCTCTCATTAGTGCTAGACCCTTACTTTTTCAATACAAGGTCGATTGCCTTTTGTTGAAGTTAACTTTTGACTTTGGAACCGCTTTTCATGCAGTATCTTCATTGCTTTGGAAATCGTTAATTTCCTGAAACACTGGCCATAGTTACATTGTGATCTAATTCTTAGTTTGGCATACCCAGAGTGCCATGGCAGACATAATATTGTCCTTATGAGCCCATTAGGAAACAGTGGCATACCTATACTATTGTGCTAAGGTCTAACAAATAATTACACTTTTGTTCTACTTACCTACAAGACTTTTTCTCATGATGCTTGGCACTCCTTGTGTATCCATACACACATGCAAACTCCCTTGTGCTTGAAGTTTTGAGTCATATGGCAAGTTGCAGTGCTTAGCTTTCACACAAAAGTACCCTAATGAAGAAAAATACGCATAAGATGACTGGAGGAGGGGATGTGGTACATGTAGCTCCAAGAGAAGCTGTCACAAATGTCACCTCTGGAAACACTTTCTGCAACTTGCAATATTTATAATATTTTATTTCCTAAGAATTGCTTTTTAATAATACTCCAGTGTTTTAAGTTTTAACCCTAAGTAAATGAAGTTTCAAAGAAATTATCATATTTACACTGGTTTCAAATATCTCTTGGTCCATAAGTTAAGGAACTCAAAAGTATAATAGAGTTGTAGAAGAATGGCTGCCCACCAGTAAGCAATCCCTGCTATAATGTACTTAAATTTGTTGTTGATCCCTTATTTTTTGCTTTGTAGGTTTCTTTGAAAATTTATTTCTGTTATTTGACTTAAGGAGGAGAAAAAATGTTGGAAATATATTCAGCAAAACATCACACCAGTTCAGTGGTTTTAACAAATAAAATTTAGTGACGCTGATGACATTTCTTCAAGTTGCGCAACTATTCCCACCCTCTTTCTCCTAGTTATTCTTCTCATTCACATGAACTCACTGCCTCCTATGGTTACTGTGTAATCTTTTGCTCTTACCAATTTGATCTCATAAAAGAGCTCAAGGTAGAGATTTTTTTTACTGGTCCAGTGAAGCTATTGTTTGGTTTTATGAAGACTTCAGGGAATGTTTTTGTGTTTTTGTCTTAAGGTTTATTGTAATCTGCTGTTTTAAGTTCCATCAAGACAGGTCGTAGTGACCCCATGTACAACAGAATGAAACACTGGCCAATTCTGTGCCATCCTCTGATTGTTATGTTAGAGCCCATTATTGCAGCCACTGTGTCAGTCCATCTTATTGGGGGTCTTCCTTTTCTTTACTGGCCCTCTACTCTACCAGGCATGTTGTTCTTTTCCTGTCCCTCCTATTAACATGTCCAAAGTATGCTTCTAAGGGGTGTTCTGATTGTACTACCTCCAAGACAGATTTGTTTGTTCTTGTGACAGTCCATGGTACTTTGAATGTTCTTTGCCAACACCAAAACTTGTATGCATCAATTATTCTTTGTTGTTGTTGTTGTTGTTGTTATGTGCCGTGGAGTCGGTTCTGACTCACAGCGACCCTCCCTGTACAGGGTTTCCGAGGCTGTAAATCTTTACGGGAGCAGACCGCCTCATCTTCTCCCGTGGAACCGCTGGTAGTTTCAAACTGCTGACCTTGCGGCTCGCAGCCCGATTCGGAACCACTACGCTACCAGAGCTCCATTCTTTAGTCTTTCTTATTCATTGTCCAGTTCTTATGAATGAGGCAATTGCAAATTCCATTTATTGGGTCCAGCAGTGCCTTGTTAGTGGACATCTAAGGTGTTGGGCATACCTTAGTCCTCAAAATGCCATCATTGTTCTTTAAACACTTTAAAGGTATCTTTTTCAGCATTCAGTACATCATTTTATTTCTTAATTGCTGCTTCCATGACCTTGATTGTGGGTCCAAGTAAAAGACATTCTTGACAACTTCAGTCTTTCCTCTGTTTAATCTGGTGGTGTTATTTGGTGCAGTTGTGAGGGTTTTATTACTTTTTTGCATTGAGTTTTAATCCATATTGAAGGCTATATTCTTTGATCTTCTTTTACCAGCAAGTGCTTCAAGTCCTCTTCACTTTCAGCAAGCAGGGTTGTATCATCTGCATATCACAGGTTGTTAATTGCCTTCTTCCAACATTCTTCTTGATATAATCTAGCTTCTCAGAATATTTGAATAAGTATGGTTGAAAGGATGCAACCCTGATATACACCTGCCTTAATTTTAAACCACGCAGTATCTTCTGTTCTTCTGCATAAGCACAATGAAGTGTTCTGGAATTCCCATTCTGCTCATTGTTAACCCATAGTTTCTTATGATCCACACAGTCGAATGCCTTTGTGCAATCAATAAAACACATTTAAGTTTCTTTCTGGTATTCTCTGCTTTCAACCAAGATCTATTTGACATCAGCAGTGATGTCTTTCCTTTCATTTTATCTTCAGTAAAATTTTACCTCTGTGTGTGATTAATGATATTGTTGAATAATTTCTGAATTCTGTTTGTTCAACTTTCTTTGAAATGGGCAAAGTATGTATCTCTTCCAGTTGATTGACCAGGCAGCTGTTGTCCAAATTTCTTGGCATAGATGAGTGAGCACTTCCACAACTATATCAGTCGTTGAAATATTTTTAATTGGCCTTCCAGCATATTCCTGGAGTCTTGTTTTTTTGTTAATGCCTTCAGTGCAGCTTGGACTTCTTCCTTTTAATAACCTCAGTTCTTGATATCATATACTACCTGCTAAAATGGTTGAACGTCATCCAATTCTTTTTGCAATGGTGAGTCTGTGTTCATTCCTTCCATCTTTTTTTTTTTTTTTTTAAACTTTTTATTGTGAATTGAGTGAAGGTTTACAGAGCAGATCATCAGTTTTACACTCAAAAGATTATAAACTTTCTTTCATCTCAGTGATTGCCATCCCTTCCATGTAGTTTTCACGCTTCCTTCCTGTGGTTCCCATTTCCATCCCACCCTCCTTTCCTTCCCTTTTCAAATTTGTCATTTGATCTTGAAAGATGGACCATTCCACGGTTGAGCATTCCTTACTATACTGTCCATTGTATATCTGTCTACTACTTGGCTGAAAATTGGGCCATGAGGGTGAGTTCCATTCCAGACCAGAAGGATGAGCGAGGGCCATAGTCTCAGGTTACTTCAGTCTCTCTGACCAGTAAACCCAGTCTTTTGTTCCACATTTTCTCCCACTCTATCCAGAACCTTCTAATGTGATCCCTTTCAGAGCAGTTGGTACCGGTTAGTGAGGCGCCATCTAGTTCATCTGGTCTCAATAGTTGTGCTGACTGGTGTTCATATGTTCCATTTGTCCATTGGACTAGTTAATTCCAAGCATCTTCAAATTTTCATCACTCTTTTTTTCCCCACATGGGAAGACCAAAACTTTCATCATTTGTCATTCGTCATCCTGTGTCATTCAGTATTTTGTCCATAGACTCCATCAAGTATTGCTTGTCAAGGCTTGACTTTTTTTTTTTTCTTCAGTTCTCTTGAGAAATATTGAACGTGTTCTTCACTGTAGGTTTTCTCACTTCAGGTCTTTCTTTGCATGTTTCATTATCATACCTTATTTTGCCTTCTCGAGCTACCCTTTGAAATTGCCTTTTCACCTCTTTTACATCATCATTTTTTCCATTTGCTTTAGCTCCTCTATGCTTAAGAGAAAGTTTCTGACACCCATTTTGATCTTTTCTTTCCTATCTTTTGCTTTCTTCATGAGTGGTGTTCTTAATGCCACAACTCACTTGGTGTTTGTTCACTAGTGTTTAGTGCATTAAATTAGTGTTGAGATGACCTCTAAATTCAAATGGGAAATATTCAAAGTGGCACTTGACTGCTAACCATGAGGCTAGTGGTTCAAACCCACCAGCTGCTCCTTGGAAACCGCATTCAGGGTTGCTATGAGCTAGAATCGACTCCATGGCACTTAACAAAAACAATCTTGGGTCTCATTGATTTTGTTTGTTTTTCGTTCAGCTTCAGCTTGGACTTGCATATTAGAAATTGATAGTCTGTTCCACAGTCAGCCGCTTGCCCTGTTTCACCTGATGATACTGAGCTTCTTTCTCCATTGTATGTTCCAACAGATGTAGTCAGTAGACTGCCTTTTTCTTCTACATAGTCTGTTCTTAATCTGGAGGCTCTGCTGAAACCTGTCCACCTGCTTATCCACCCTTCATATATTTGAAATACTGATGGCATAGCTTCTATGATCACATCAACTTAGTATCAACATAGCAAGCCACCACAGTATGACAGACTGCTAGATGTGAGGTGGAAGCCTCTGTTTTTCTATGTATCATCCTTCCTAAGGTGAAATGAACTTTTTGTTATTTCAGATGGGTTTAAACCCAGCAGAAGCATTGTCTTTGCCAGCTGGAGTGCTGGAGACTTTGGAGCTGTCGGTGCCACTGAATGGCTAGAGGTATTATCTATACATCACCCAATACCCAGCATGGGTACCTGAGCTTGTATTGACTTAGGCTGTCCTCCAGAAACCTTTCTCCTTTAGGTTTGATTATACCATTTTTTTGTCTTTGTATATTTAGCCTCAGTAGAATCCATCATGTTTAAAAACAAATCCCTAATAATAGCAATTAGCTACCCTGTAGAAGAAGTAGATTTTTATATATTAGAGCATTAATTTTTCCCTCTTCTATTCTAGGGATACCTTTCAACTTTGCATTTAAAAGCTGTCACTTACATTAATTTGGATAAAGCTGTTGTTGGTAAGTGTCCTTCTCATTAACTGTTTTGAAATTCAGGTGAATTACTTATAAAATGTAGGTGATGGCCTTATATAGGCCATATAAGGCCCGTGAAATCATTTGGTCTGTCCCTGCCAAGGCAACCACAGTTCCAGCTACCATATTGTTGTTAACTGCCTTTGAGTTGGTTCCAACTCATAGTGACCCTATATAGGGTTTCCAAGGAGTTTCCAAGTTCAAGCTGGTGAGCTTGAACCAGCAACCTTGTGGTTCAAACCCACATTGCAGTCCAGCACATTAACCCACAGTGGTGGTGGTGGCTGTGCGCCATGGAGTCAGTTCTGACTCATAGTGACCCTGTACAGGGTTTCCGAGGCTGTAAATCTTTATGGGAGCGGAACGGCTGGTAGTTTCGAACTGCTGACCTTGTGGTTCACAGCGCGATTCGTAACCACTACGCTACCAGAGCTCACAGTACTACAAAAGAACTCTAGCCATCCTATTAGGGGTGAGTTAATAAAATGTTTGAACAAATATAGCAAGCTATGTTTTTTAAATGAATAATTTTGTGTGGCCCACGAATAATGTTACAATTTTGGGCAGAAAAAGGTTCCCCGCCCCTGTTATAAAACACTAGAAGACCACATTTTAAAGCAGCACTTATTATTTTTCATAATTTACATTGGCCAGAATCAGACCAAAAAATTGATTTAGCTTTCTCATAAATAGCTTGTCAAGCATGGGCACTGGTTGACTTGTCTAGAGCTGTGGTCCTCAGTCCACCAGGGTCAGGAGTATATGGAAACAGCTAGGAATATGAATTCTTAAGCCCCACCTCAAACTTTTGCAATCAGTAACCTAGCGCGTGGGTCCAGTAAACTGTGTTAACAAGTATTGGTCTGGGCTATATTTTAGATCACATGGGACTAAGCATCCATATCATATAAGATGGTATTTCTAGAGACTAATAAAACTGGAAATGTTAAAAATAATTTGCATGTTTTAACTAGCAAATGACTGCCTATCTTGGGTGTACCAAAAAGGTACCCAAACAGAACCACCAGCATTAAAGTATGCAAACTCAAATAGTAAGGGTTTCAGTTGAATCAAGTTTAGGATTTGTAACATTAGTTTTTAAAATTGACTCCTAAGTCTCTCTCTTTTACTTCATTAGTAGACTGTTGTATAGGCCAATCATGTAGGTTAATGACTTCCAGTATGCCGGGAGCTTTAGTAATAGAGGTAGCAGTGTGAAAGTTGCATGACTAGAGAAATGGCCTTGTTAACATAATTTCTTTGTAGGTACCGACAAATTCAAGGTTTCTGCCAGTCCACTATTGTATTCACTTATTGAGAAAACAATGCGAGATGTGAGTATCAATCCAGTTGCCAAAATGTATAACTTAATTCTTGCCTACGGTTTAATAAAATGTCAAACACTGATATTTAAACCATTATAAGTAAACAGTAACAGGAGTTTAGAATGGATTCTATAATAGCATTATTTAAGTGATGTTCATGACTTCCTGGGTCCCCAGCCTATTTAATGGATAAAGACTAGTATTTCAAAGACCATAACTTTAAGCGAAGAAGATTTGACTAATGGAGTTTGTTGTTAAGTGCTAGCGAGTCAGTTCTGTCTCATAGCAACCCTGTATAGGGTTTCTGAGGAGCAGCTGGTGAGTTTAAACTGCCAACCTTGCAGTTCAATCTGACCTTGAGGTCGAGTGCTGCACCAGGACTCCATATATTGGAATGATTAAATTTGAAGGGAATGAAGTAGACCGTGGCCTTGTTACCAGGAGAAACTGGAAATTATCATAGGATCTCAAACCAAGCAGTTTTGTGTGTACAGATTACATTGGTATTGGTATATAATGTGCCAGAAGGGAAGAAACTAGAAACAAGCATATGAAAGCTACAGAGGGTTTTTTTTTAAATAGCCAACTTTAAAATGTCAGTTACGAAAGAATGCATCTTTTTTTTTTCGCCATATTTGAACAAGTGCTAATAGTAATAACTTTGAAATTTTATTTTTTCTGTTTTAAATTTTTTCAAGATTAAAGTGTTATGTTTTCTTATAGATATGTTTACACAGAAAAACATGTTAGTGATTAGCCTGATTAATTTCAGAAACATTAGTTTTAATAGTAAATAACTTCTTATTTTACAGGTGACCCATCCAGTTACTAGGAAGTATCTCTATCAGGACAGCAACTGGGCCAACAAAGTGTAAGTTGAGAAATGTTCGTGAACTCCTATTAAGTCAGCTAGGTGTCTAAAGCTAACCGTGCAGGGAACCGACCTCTAACTACAGGTTTGATGTAAGCATTTATTTAGGGTTACGAGGAAGGTTGCATGGTAATATCTATTCTTTAGAAATTTTTCTAAAGGCACTTTCTTACTTTACTTGCAGTGAGAAACTTTCTTTTGATAATGCTGCTTTCCCTTTCCTGGCATATTCTGGAATTCCAGCAGTCTCTTTCTGTTTTTGTCAGGTGAGTCTGAAGAACTCGAGCAGCATCTTACCTCAGATATTCTTACCAGTATTGAAGCCCAGTTTTATATAGTGCTTAAAATATTATATATCAACATACAGGTGTTGATTCTCTGTATTACTAGCCTTAACATAAAAGTCGAATCTCAACTAGTTTAATTACCATTTGGGTTTATGACTAAAATTTCTTCAATTAAATATGAGCATTTATAACAAAGTGTTTAATTTCTTGGATGATAACTGCCTCTCCTGACACTGTAAAAGACTAGTTTAGTCATACAAAGTACTTTTGACTAGTTCTGTTCTGGAAACTTGTTGAATTATGGTTCTATATGTTCGTCTTTTAAGCAGGGATTATGGGCAAAGCACATACTGACAAAGTTTATACTGGTAGAAAAGCAAGATTGGCTTGGCATAAGAGCCAGTTAGAAAGCCAGGCAGAGTAAACAGAATAACGAATGTTTTGTGCTGAAGTGCTACGGTTGGAAAACTGGCTCTGTGATGGGATCTTCTGAGGGGCAAAGAGAACCTAGAGTTAACGTAGGCTAGGGAGTTGGGGTGGAATTGCTGAGCATTGGTTCCATTAATATGGTCCAAACTTCCCAGAAAGAAGAAAAGAAGGAATATAGCCTTCAAAGAATTTTGTGAGGAATTTTTTCAGTCTGTATGCTAATAAGAGAATTGTTACTATTAACCTTAATGGTTAAACATAAACATGAGGCTTAAACTCTCCAACCCACATAAGTGCAATAGCCTAGTTTTGTTTTCCAGGATGAAAATTATCCTTATTTGGATACTCCAAAAGATACCTATGATGTGTTAAATAAGCAAATTCCTCAGTTGAACAAAATGGCACGTGCAGCAGCAGAAGTGGCTGGTCAGCTTATAATTAGACTTACCCTTGACCTTGAATTGGACCTGGACTATGAGCGGTATAATGACAAAATACTTTCATTTTTGAAGGATATAAACCAATTCAGAACAGATATAAAGGTGAGCACTAATTAAAAGCATTCTTATTATTGAAGTCTTAAAGCAGTTTGACATATGATGTTTTGCTGTTTCTGGAAGGGATATTGATTGGTAGCTAAAGTACATTTTCTTACCCTTTTTTCACTTTAAATTGTGCTTTGAGTGAAAGTTTACAGTCCAAATTGATTTTCTATTCAGCAGTTCTTTTGTATTTTGTTTTGTGATAGTTAATTGCAATTCCCACAATGTAACAGCATTCTTCCTACTTCCTTCCTATGTTTTCTGTTTTCTTTTGTCCTTTCCATCTAAGCTTTTTCTCTGGACAAATGCTGCCCTTTTGATCTGGAATCGTTGCTTGTTCAAAGGATACTTCGCTCCTTGGTGTTAATTTTCATGTTATAGGCCTGTCTCTATATGAAGTCCTGGTGTAGCACTCTAGGATGAGCACTGAACTGCTAACTGCAAAGGTTGGTGGTTCAACCCACCAGCTACTCCTGTAGGTTTGCAGCGTTGCTATGAGTCAAAACCAATGCAACAGCTCTTAATAGCAAGACCGGTCTGTAGTTTGGCTGGAAGTTGAACCACAGGGATGAGTTCAATTTCAGGTTTGAAGGATGTATAAGGGTCGTAGTCTTAGGGGTGGGGTCCCACCACGCTCTATCAGACCAGTAAGTTTGGTAAATTTTATTATTTTGAATTTTGTTCCACAATTTTCTCCTACTCTCTTAGGACCACCTCCTATTGTGATTCCTATCAGAGCAGGCTCAGGGTCATGAAAACGAGTTCACATGGTCCCTTGGACTAATGATTTCCTAGTGTCTTTAATTTTCTTCACTCTTTCCTCTAGTCAGGGAGAAATCAGGAGTTGCCGCTTAGGTGGCCACTCATTAGCTTTTACAATCCAAATCTCTATTCACTAAGTAGAATGTGGAACATTGTCTGTAGATTCTGTTGTCCCTCAGACTGGTGCTTGGTTTTGAATAAGTTTACATAACTTTGCCCCCTGTATCATCTACTATATTCATGGATATGCAAGGGTGCTTCAGAAATTTGTGAAAAAAATCCACTTTTTTCACAAATGAATTCTTAATTCCGTTTGTCCACAAACTTTTTGAAGTCCCTTTGTATTTGCAGCACATATAATAAATACATATTTAGAGATCACCTCTGTCAAACCGAAAGGCAGGGTTGAGTCAACAAGTATTGCTACTGGAATTCTAATACATATATGCATAGGTTAATTCTAAACAAAACATGTCAGTTTATGATTGCAGTCAAGTTTTCTCAGTCTTGGATTTACTAATAGGATCCAAGCAAGATCCAGTTAAATCAGTGACTTCTGAGGGAACCTGATGTTGTTAAGAGCTGTCAAGCCAGTTCTGCAAGAGTAGTCCATTTGCGTTCCCATACCTGTTCAGTTTGCGTTCTGTATATCTACTCATTTTTGTTATTATTTCAGGATCATACATGTAATAGTATGCTGGTGGTGGTGTGCTTGTGAAAACGAAAAATTGTTTTCGACTCATGGTAAACCTGTAAAGGGCTTCTGAGGCTGTAAGTCTTTACAGGAGCAAAAAGCCTCATCCTTTTCTCAAAGAGTGACCTCTTGTGGTCATCAGCCCAGCTTGTATTGCAAAGGCCTTCTTTGCAGTAGTATGAGGAAGTTTCAAAAAGTTTATAGAAAAATTCCCTTTACCTTTCAATTTCTTTTTTCCATGAACTTTTTGAAATCTCATATACCTTTGTTGCCTATAAAAACTCTTGTGTTCCTCCCAGTGTCTTCCTTTGCATTCTTGATCATTAATGCTGACCTCTTCTTTATTGTTTATTATCTTAAACTTCACCCAAGTTTGTATTGTCCACCCTTTAGTTAATCGCTTACCATTCCTTCATTTACCCTTCCTTTCCCTCCCTTCTCTGGTAGCCTTCACAGAATGTTTATTTCTGTGTGTAAACCTTTTCTTGTGTTAATTATAGTTAGTGGTCTCATACAATATTTTCGCTTTTGTGGCTGACTAACTTCACTCAGTATGAGGTGTTTCCACAGATCCTTCATTCTCTTAACAATGCATAGTATTCCTTTGTGTGTATGTACCACATTCATCTATCTGTTGATGAGCACTTAGGTTGTTTGTATCTTTTTGTTATATATAGTATATAGTATCTAGTCTTTGAGTTCTCGTTTTATTCTTTTGGAGAAGTCTTGATGTACATAAAATATTTAATTTTTGTTGTTGGTAAGTGCTGTTGAGTCAGTTCTGATACCTAGCAACCCTAAATAGGGTTTCCAAGGAGCAGCTGGTGAACTTGAACCGTTGACCTTGCAATTCAAACCAACCTTGCAGTCCAGTGCATTAACTCACAGTGCCACACCAGGAGAGGTCCCAATTGTCTAATAATTTATCAGAGCAATAACTAGCGATGGAAGTTTCTTAAATCAAAATGTTTCCCCCAAGGAGAAATTCAGTTGGTAAAAATGTATAGGATTATATACTTGTACTAAGTACATTGTGTTACATTTCTTGATGAGGGATTATTTTCTTGTGGGATTAAGAATGAATAATTATATTATCTACTGGGCTCAAATTGGTGTGTATTATAAGCTCTGGTAGCGTAGTGGTTACGAATCAGGCTGTGAACTGCAAGGTCAGCAGTTCGAAAATACCAGCTGTTCTTTGGAGAAAGATGAGGCTTTCTGCTCCCGTAAAGATTTACAGCCTCAGAAACCCTGTATAGGGTTGCTATGAGTCAGAACCGACTCCACGGCACATAACAACAACAACAACATATTTCAATTAAGATTCTTCGGTGAGTCTTGAGTTGATTATAAGTCATCTCCTTTTTTTCGAATCGTAATTGCCACATCTAAATTAGCAGTATGAGTTCTCATTGTGAATTTCATGTCCTTTCACTTCAGGAGATGGGTCTAAATCTACAGTGGCTATATTCTGCTCGCGGAGACTTTTTTCGTGCTACTTCCAAACTAACAACAGATTTCAAGAATGCTGAAAGAGCAAACAAGTTTATCATGAGGGAACTGAATGACCGTATGATGAAAGTGAGTAAATGCTTCGAAAAGGGGGAATTAAAAAAGCATGTTAATTTTTCATTGATAAATCTCATATTTTTAGATGGGAGAATAATTCAGGGAACCTAAATTTTTTTGCTACATTAGAATTCAGAACAGATTTTAAGTCTAAGCAAGATCTATAACAAACATCTAAGCCAGAAATATTTTTTGTAATTGAGTTAGTAGTGATGATTTAAAAAAAAACTATCATTATCTCTGTTTCTGTTGTTGAGACCTTAACTTGAAAATTTACAAGCCTTCTGTATGCTCCAACCAGAAAAATTCTAATACTTCTACAACAGCAGGATTTAGACTGTAATTATAGCTGTTATGTGCTGTGTGGTCGTTCCCCCTGCTCAAAGTAAAGTTTGTTTCTTACCTATCGCTGCCTGCTATGCACCTGTAGCAGCCCAGGGATGCTTGGTCTCACACATATTGATGAAGATGAACTTATTAAATAAGTAAAAGGAATTGTTACGTTGCTTTAGATTATAAACTTAGAAGATGAGTAGTCTGTTAACATTGTTAAATTTAGGGAATTTAACACTGGAAGTGAAGGAATGCTGTTTAGTTGCCTTACTATCTCAGGTCCTTTCCCAATACCAGAAGTTGTAGCACTGGGTAAACTCCTTGTATGCTTTGTTTTTCATAGGTGGAATATCATTTCCTCTCACCCTATGTATCTTCAAAGGATTCTCCTTTCCGACATATCTTCTGGGGCTCTGGCTCTCACACTCTGTCAGCTTTACTGGAAAACTTGAAGCTGCGTCAGAAGAATGTGGATGCTTTTAATGAAACACTGCTGAGAAACCAGTTGGCTCTAGCTACTTGGACTATCCAGGGTGCTGCAAATGTTCTCACTGGGGACATTTGGGAGGTTGACAATGAGTTTTAGAATCTAATGCCAGTCACTTGTGTCAGAACAGCAGGCAGTCTGGTTTCCTAATAGGGCTACAGAACTAATGTTAAATTCTACCCAATCATCTTGGTGTACTGCTAGAGATCTCTAGACAGCAACAGCAGCTTTTAATATGGGGTAGGTACCTGCACTTCAGGTTAAAGTGAATAACCACTTTAAAAATGTTCGTGGTAGAATATTTTCTCTTGATTATTTTTAGAATTTTAAGTCCTTTATATTGGTAACTGCCTTTTTCCTGGTACAGTTCGGAAAACGTCAAAGCCAGTTTTTGGGAACTATTACTCTAAATCTTAAGGATGCAGCTGGTATCTTTTGAGGTGGGAGGAAGTTTGTGGTCACTGCTGAAGGTTCCAAGTGGAAGCTTCATAAGATCCTCCGTCTTCTCTTAATGCTAGATAGAAGATACTAGGTTGGAAGGCCTTACTCTCTAAATGTGATAGGTGCTTTCCTATAAGGATTTAGGTGGTTTCCATACCCTGTATGAAACAGTTAACCATCAGAAGAAATGGACTTCTTTTCTTGCCAGGAAGATCTGAAATAGAGGTTCTTCAGCTGAATAAAACGAGGTTCAACTGTTTGTGACAGGAGGAAGGCCTTAATGTGTTAATCTCAATGTCATGAAGAGTCCAGAAGCCAAAAACATGTCGTGTCTTTCCTCTTCATCTATCCCTAGACCCATAAGCTTTTGTCCTACTTTCTTGTTGTAGTGTTTTTCCAAAGTATTTTGAAAGAAAACCAATTTTAGGTGTTTGATTTCAAACTCAGTTTGTCAGACTTCAAAGAACACACTGCCAAATTTTGGCCAAAGTGTTAATTGTGTGGAAAAGCTTTCTATCATTTTGGCACTGAGATATTTATTGTTTATTTATCAGTGACAGAGTTCACTATAAATGGTGTTTTTTTTATAGAAGATAATTATCGGAAGCAGTGCCTTCCATAATTATGACAGTTATACTGTCGTTTGTTGTTTTTTTTAAAATAAAAGCAGCATCTGCTAATAATACCCAACAGATACTGGAAGTTTTGCATTTATGGTTTGACATTGAGGGTTTTAGAAAACAGCCACAAGTCCTATAAAATTATAAAGCTAGATACTGGGAAAGAATTAAACAGTGTTGCCAATCAAGGTAGACTTATGTTTAGCTGACCAGATAAAACTAATAGAATAAATATAATGAATTGAGCTTACGTTGTAAATAAATGTCACTTTAAGGCTGTTAGTAGTACTCTACTATGCAGAATTTTATGCTCAGTTTATCTAAGGGGGGGGTGACTTTAATTCCAGTTTTGCAAAATTTCCAGTACCTCTGTCACAACCGTAACTCACATTATCGGGAGCAGTGTCTTCCATAATGTATAAAGAACAAGGTAGTTTTTGCCTACCACAGTGTCTATATCGGAGACAGTGATCTCCATATGTTACACTAAGGGTGTACATAATTATCGGGAACAGTGTTTCCCATAATTTTCTTCATGCAATGACATCTTCAAAGCTTGAAGATAGTTAGTATCTAACATGTATTCCCACTTCCCTGTAATTCTCTTTTAGTTTTAGCTGCAGAAATATTTTATGGTGGTCGTTAAGCATTTGGTGGGTAAATTCAAACAACTGTAGAGTAAAATGACTTCCTTCAGGATTTCTTTCTTTTTTTTTTTTAACCTAATGTGGGTGTTTTGTTATATTTGTGGTCTTGTATAGCAGGATAGTAGCATACATGTATAATGTTTTGCTGTTGACAAATTTAACCTTTCCCCTGTTTACATATATATCTCCTATAAGCTTAGTTCAGACAAGTTTGAATACAGAATTGACCTTTTGGCCTAAAGCAGGAACTTGTCTAGGAAATTTAGTGGGGAGAGTGTGTGTGCAATGAGTGAAGATTGGACGGTGGTGAAGCTTACACAAGGGTCTTTGATCATGTCTACCTACCCCTTAGTACATGGTGGTTGTGAGTTAAATGTAGGTTTGAAGAAATCAGTTTGAGACTGCGTGAGTAAGGACTTTATTTTCTAGTTCTCCACCATGTGGGTGAGACAGATAATCAGCTGTTTATTATAGAGCAGTTCAAAACTGCCACATGAGAAAAGGTCCAATGGGTCTCTGAAGGTTCTGAGAGCCACTTCCCCCAGTTAAAATTGATTCTAGATTATTACAGCCTCACTGAATTGCTTCACTACTCACTCACTGTTTAGTCTTCATAGTGGATTTTCTTGGATGTTTAGTGTAGCCAAATGAAAAGGTCAAAGCTGAGGCGCCTGGATTTCTGGGTATTATGCGTATATACTATAATGAAAGCTCAGTGACTTAGTACATAAGAATAATCGTGGGCAGTACATTTTACAGCAGTCAGTTTCCTCAAAAAAAAAAACACCCTTTTCTGTATACCTGAATGAAATGTGTATCTGAATAGTGGTAACCTGCTAGTTTTTCTGCTAAAGATGTTAAGTAGATTTTGAAGGTAAAGGATAAATTGAGTGAGCTGTTCACTAGTCTAGGACTTGTGTGACCTTTGTTGTCCCATGTTTGTTCTTTGAATGTTCTAGAACTTTTAGCTGGCTAAACAGAACTTACTAGACTTGCCAGACTACTACTCAGTTATATCTTTGTAAACAAGTGGCATGCCCTTGAAATTGTATACCAGCTGGTATGTGCAACAATGTGGAGAATTCCTTATCTGACTTTAATAAAATGCTTAAATACGGAGTTGTATTGAGATACTGCATATTTTTCATATTAAGTCTTCAAAATCCAACATACTTACGTATCAATTGGGATTAGCCATGCTTCATGTATCAGTAGCCATTACACAATTTAACCTCACTCCTACTAGTGTCACACAACATTATTCTTTGTAGTTGCAGGAATTGCATCCACTAGAATTGAAAACCCTATAATTGCATCATCATGTATGTCCCAGTTATTCCTGTAAGAATTAACTATATACATACCCTCGAAGGGAAACAAGACTAACTAAACTTATATCGTACAGGAGAATGTGCCTATGTGAAGGAAGGTGATAGGCTAGGAGGCAGCCCTGAAATACTAAAACACATCTGGTTATCTAGCTATAAGATAATTCACTTGAAATTCAATATACCAGATACTAGTATCTTCCTTGTCTCTGTCAATGGGTTTTCCTTTAAACTGCCTAATGCTTCATCCATCTCAGATAAACTGTCAAGTTGGCTAATGCCTTTTTTTTTTGGAGACTATTCACATGCAGAAGGGTCTATATTGAAAAGTAAAGTTTCCTCTTAGTCCCAACTTTCCCTTCCTCTGGATACCCACAATAAACCACAATTAGATTTCTTTTGTGTGCTAACAGTTGTCTAAGCAGAAGTGAGAATATCCATGAGACTTCATAAGCATACATGAGGTAAGAAGGTTACACAACATAAACCCACTAACCTATCCCTCTCCAACTCTAATGATTGTCACACATACCATTAAGTCAGATTGACAGTTTCCTACAAGAAACTTGAGAGGCAAATATGTTGAAAGTAAATATATATATATATATATATATATACACACACACACACACACACCTGGAAAACTAGTATAAGATTGGAGTGAATATACAGGTACAGTTCCAAGATAGTGTAATACTAGAGGTAAGGGACATTTCATAATGATAATAGGGATACTCTATCTGGAGGTAATAGCTAAATGAATGGGAGAAATGATTTTGCCTTCATAATAGATTTTATCCCTTGTCTTAAAAGTTGACACCAAAAACTGGACAGAAAATAAGGACAAAAAGACTTAAACATTATCAGCTACCTTAACCCAGTCATTTAAGTAACCCTGTCTACGGTTTCCGAGGAGCAACTGGTGGGTCAAACCACTGACCTTGTAGTTCAAACTGATACTGCAGTCTAGTGCTGTTCTCCTGCAGCACCACACCAAGACTCAAGTTTCAGTAAGTTTAAAATAATTGAAATACAGTGAATTATCTGACCATGGGAAATGGTCTTCACAAACACCATAATTCAAGTGCATCAATTCTTTTTCTGCCTTTCTTTTTCATTGTCCCGCTTTCACATTCATATGAGGTGATTTAGAATATATCAATGTATTCAATTCTGAAATGCCTATTAGAAACCCAAGAGAAATGAACACATCTTTGTAAAAATTTATACATGAATAGCTTTTTTTTAAAGTTTTTATTATGAATTGGGGTATACATGGAAGAAAACCGTTTTACACTCATCGTATTTTGTTTCATTGAAATGATTACAATCCCCTCCATGCATCATCATTCAACAGTATTTGCTTCTATTCCCTCTGGGGTTCTTTGGGGGTTTTTTTGTTGTTGGATGTACACAAAAAATACTAAGAAATAATGTAATTATTTAAACCAAAGAGCACATTCTGCAAGCCTGTCTCCTGACTGATAGCACAAAACCACGAGTCTTGAGTCTTCACCTGTGCTATCTCTCCATGGCAGCATTGCTGCCTTCATTCCATCTCTGGTGTTACTGCTCTTCTGGATAGGGTCCCACATTCTGCTCATGCTCTTCTACCTTGATGGTCCTAGGGTCCTCTGTTCCTGGACTGTAAGATTAACTACTACCCCCTTTATGTTACAAAACTACCTTTGCAGTTGTTATAATCACAATTAGTCATGATGACAATTACAATTAGTCATGATGACAATCACAATTAGTCATGATAACAATTATTCACTATTGATAGGAATTACTATTGAATCATAAGAATCTTATCCCCATCTCCTTTCACCAGACCCATCTAGACAAGATGAATTCAATGGGGATTCTACTTCCCCACACACACTCCGATACAGAACTCCCTTTTGAGAATTTGTAAGCCAGTCACTTTGTGCCTTTATAGCAACCCCTATTGTGGTGCTGTGGGTTAATGTGCCAGATTGCAAAGTCAGTGGTTCAAGCTCACCAGTTGCTCCTTGGAAACCCTATACAGGGTTGCTATGGGTTGGAATCAACTCAATGGC